GGGAAGGGAGGCTTCCCTGGCTTGCGGCCCTGCTTGTTGTCCTGTTCCCTCTCCGCGTTACATCCGCCCTCTCTGTTTCTCCGCTTTACTTTGCAGGGAAACTCCTATCCTCCATCACCTACACGGGAAGCTTCCTCCCAGTCCTCTTGCGGTTTCCAGCCTTTGTACTGCCCTTAACGGGTGGGCAAGAAGGATTCAAGGGGAAAAAAACCCTAACAAACAAAGCCCAAGTCCATCCTCTGTAGGCTACGTACTTGCCTAGAGGAGGCCTGTGGTGTGACAGATGTCTCTGTGTTTGCAAAGGGGCTGTGTTTGAACACTGCCACTGCAGCTGCTAAAGAGTAATTTACCCAAATCAGCAGGTGTGTGAGGCAGTGTTTGCATCCAGTAAAACTGTCTGTGGAAAGATGGCCTTTATTAAAGTTGCCACATCCATACCCAGTGAATCAAGGAAATGCATCCTACATAATCAGTCAAGCTAATGCTTAAGTATGCGTAATTGAAAAAAGTCTGAAAGTGAGTTATAAACAATTCTTTGTTTGGAGCTTCAGTTGATGTGATTTGGAATACTTATTGCTGCCTTGCCTGAAAAATGCTTGGTGCATGAAACAATACTAATCAAAGTTTTAGGTTTTTGTATGACCTCACTGCATTTTTGGATGTTCTTGTCCATCTAGTTTATGTGGACAAAAAGGTACGGATTTTAGGCCTACATCAGAAGTCATAAAGTGTTGCCAAAACCAGTAGTGGCAGAGACTTGACCTGATTTCAGTGACCTCTGGTTTGTAGGAAGTTAGTGGGGTTTTATCTCTTTTAATAAGTTTGGCAGGAGGTACCAAGAAGCTTTGTTTTCACAACTCTATACATGATTAGAAAGAAAACTGGTGTTCTGTTGTAACTGACAGTTACTAGAAATCTTTTGCTACTCATTCTTTGGGAATTGGGGAAGGAGGTACAGCTCTATGTCTGTAAGTCTGAAATGTGTTGTGTTCTAGTTGTCTGTTTTTTGGAAGTGTGAAGAAGAGTTCTGGTATTGCAGTTGGATTCAGGGAGGTGTGTTTAAGAGTGCATGAATACAGCAGTCATCAACAGTATGTCTATCATAACTTTTTCCTTCTTTTTTGCTACTATTTTTATTGGGAAAAATTGCAGGGTTTTGGATGGAGAGGGGCTGCAGAGTTGATCTGTGTGGGGAAAAAGTGATGAACTGCCTACTACTGGTCACAGCTGGATCCAGCTGTCTTTGACACTGATGAAAACAACCCATCACACATCAAAATTTCAAGCAGAGGAGCTGATAGCACTTGTGCTCAAAGGCAGTTAACAAAGAGCAGCAGCTACCAGAGTTAGGAGACACAAATGGATACACAGGAAGAGGCACCTGAGATACGTGAAGAGATGCACTTGTGGGTAGTGGCAAAAGAAATGATTATGCACTGACTCAAACATCCGCCTTTCCCATTGCCTCACTGAAGGGAGGGACTGAGTGGAATCCACACAGGAAACAAGTTGACAGTAGGAAGGCATGAGACCAGGCTGTCGCTGGCACAAGGCAGTTCATGGCCTCTCCACACCGATCAGCCCTGCAGTCCCCTCGCTTCTGAAAACCTGGCATTTATGCCCAATACATTACCTTAAAGTGGCTTTTGAAAAAAGCAGTTATGCCACTAAGACGCTCGTGCTTTGAATTTGTCATAATAATAACCTTTTTTCCTGTTCCCCACAGAAGAATATACTAGTCAAAAATGAGGTAAAGATGGACAAAGATGATCTGACTGATCTCTATATTCAACATGCCATTCCTCTGCCTCAGCGTGACTTACCAAAAAGTAGATGGGGGAAAATGATGGAAAAGAAAAGGCAGCAAAATGAGTTGAAAAGTGAGAATAAAAGGTAATTTAGCTTTTATTAGGCTAGACCTGGAGAATTTAGGAATATGCATTTAGTTTAAGCTTTGTTTGCCTGATTAATGAAACTTGTATATTGGACATTGTTACAGTTTACAGAGAATTGCCATGTCAGGTCTTCTGTGTCAGAAGTGTTAGACTCTAATACTGCAATAATGGGAAAAAGAGGAAGATAATATGTTTTTGTCATCCAAACATCATTAATGGTATCTAGCTTATAGTGCTTCTTTTCACAGAATGGTTTGGGCTGGAAAGCGCCTTTCAAGGTCATCTAGTCCAACCCCCCTGGAATGAGCAGGGACATCTTCAACTAGATCACATTGCTCAGGGCTCCATCCAACCTGACCTGGAATGTTGCCAGGGATGGGGCATCTTCCACCTCTCTGGGCAGCCTGTGCCAGTGTTTCACCATCCTCCTTGTGAAAAATTTCTTCCTTATGTCTAGTCTAAATCTACCCTGTTTTAGTTTAAAACCATTACCCCTTGTTCTATCACTACAGGCCCTGATAAAAAGTCAGTCCCCATCTTTCTTAGATGCCCCCTTTAACTACTCAAAGGCTGCAAGAAGGTCTCCCCAGAGCCTTCTCTTCTCCAGGCTGAACAACCTCAACTCTCTCATCCTGTCCTCACAACAGAGGTGTTCCACCCGTCTGATCATTTTTGTGGCTCTCCTCTGGACCTGCTCTAACACGGTCATGTCTTTTCTGTGCTGAGGGCTCCAGAGCTGGACTCAGGACTCCAGGTGGACTGTCACCGGAACAGAGTAGAGGGGCAGAATCACCTCCCTCGACCCGCTGGCCGCACTGCTTTGGATGCAGCCCAGGATGTGGTTGGCCTTCTGGGCTGTGAGCGCACATTGCTGGCTCATGTCCAGCTTTTCATCCGCCAGTACTCCCAAGTCTTTCTTGGCAGGGCTGTTTTGGTAACAGATGAATATTTAGGATACTCAGGGGATGGGAGGTAAAATCTACACTTTTCTCTGGTTTTAGGGTGCTATGTTAAGTACCAGGCTAAGCTAGACAAGAATAGGAGCATTTTTCATTAAATTGTCCTCATAATTGGGAATTGCTCAGGGGCCATCCTGACTACCTGAGTAATCGGTGAAACAGTGGAATCTCAGATTGGTCATGTAGAGAAGTTTTTGCTTCCTCTAGTAAATCTTGTATTCTTTACCATGTGCTACAAAGTAAACAGAAGGATTAGAACATGCCCTCTGTCCAGCCTGGCCCAAGGTGTGGCTAGTACATTTCTCTAGAATGCATACTGAAATCTAGGCTTCACAGAGAGTGTCCTGCAGGAGGGGACACAGTCCTAAAATGGTTCTTTTCAGCTGTCAGCTAGCGTCAGTGTTCTCCCTCAGAAGAGTGCTGGCTAATACGAGTCCTACTCTGAAGTTTCTAAGCTGCCTGTGCTTTATATGAAGAAAGTGAATGTGGCATCCAAGGTTCTGTGTTCTTCTGTGAGCCATGCATCTAAAAATTAGATGTGACAGCTCTTGATGGTACAGCATCCAAATTTCTTTTGGAAGTTTCCCAAAGTGTTTCCCTGCGAATGTTATCTTTATTGTAGCATGTGGTCATTTGTACAAGAGCTACAGTTGTAAAATTCAGTTTAGAATAGATAACAGTCCTTCTAGAACTGCAGTTAGTTCCTAACTTGCCAGTCTTCACCAAGCTGAATTAAAAAAAAAAAAAATCATCCCCATAGGAAAAGCAGACTTGTATTAAGGAAAGTGACTGAAAAAAGGTATAAAAATCTTTTCTTTCACAGAGTTTGTAAACTAGCTTTCTAAAAAGGTTGCTGAGGGAACGTGTACCTTGTCAGGAGCGTTGAATAAATTCTTGGACAAAGCCAAAGTGTGTTCAGCTTTTTAGGCTTTTCAAGTGAAGTTATGCTCCTTAATTTAATAGATGTGTTATATATTACTGTTGTTTCAGTAGTATTTAACTGAAACAATGTGCCTGGCTGCACAGTTCTGGTGTTCGAAGCTAATCTCATTTTGTAGAAGCTCTCCCAGAAACTGCTTCTACTGTAGTACAGACATCGGTTGTGTCTGATCTCTTGACAAACAAGTCCCAAATGAATTAAAGGTCTCTCTTTGTCTCTATCAGTTCCGGGAACCCAATGAAAAGAAAAAGAGGATTATGTGACATATGTTGTTGTGAACAGATAGTAATGTAGAAGCAAATCTGAATAAGAGCCGAACTTTCTCTTGCTCTCTCTGAGCTCTTAAATTGTGACTCCTTTATTTTTTTTTTAAAGAAACCTCTGATCTTGACAGAAATTGTACAAGCGACATGTAATTTCTTAATATGCGAGGCTTATCAGCAGCTACTAATCTAATGTTGTTCCAAGTAAACAAATGGAGTCTCTGCTTGTGGCTTATTTTAAAGAAACCCAACATCAATATTGTAAAATTAATTACAAATTAACAAATACATTTCATTGTTGAAAACACTATAGTTCAACTTTTATTCCTGTGTTTAATACGAGATGATGAAACAGCAAGTGTGTACTGAAAACTTAAGTTTCTAAACAGGAATATTATATAACTTAATGGTTTTTTATTTGTTAGATCTGCGCTTTCCAAGCACTTTCTCTTTGTCATTCCCGAGCAATGCTTCTTAAAACCTTTGAATTCATGTAGAGTGAGCTGTGATAACTTTGTGCTTTATTTTTTGTCAGTGTGGATGTTTTCTGATACTACTGTTTTGATATTAGCTTGATAGTATTCCTCTTTCATTTATCACTTGTTATTAAATTGGCCAGCTCTGACTACATACAGGCTTAAAGGCACAAACTATTAAAAAAAAAAAACCCAACTCATGAAATCAGTTTAGTGTTCCTGTTCAAAGATAGCTTATTTCAAAAACAGGTATGCTTTTTTTGGTTAACGTTCTTATTCCTTGTCTAACAGTCTTTTAGACTGTCTTAACATTATGGTTTTGATTCAGAGTGGAAACAGGGAGATCTAGAAGCATCAGAATATTAGATGCTGTTCTTGTAGGTAAGGTGGCACACACTTTCTCAACTATTCACCTTCTGAAATACTTAGCAGCTATTATCTCTTTAGTTACTCTGGAATAGCTACAGTGGTATAAGCACACAGTTGTAACTGTCTGCCTAGGAAGTTCCTCACACAACCCTCCCTGCTGAAGAACACTGGTTTTCACACAACTTCCTGTCCCCCTTCCCCCTTCAGATTTTGGAAGCAATTTCTGTTGCCTAAGTTTGGAGCAGCTAAGAGTTTAAGGTTAGTATTTTGGGATATATTTTTGCTTTAGGCAAGATTAAACTCATTTTCACTACTCATGTATTGGATATGCTATTTTTGGATCATCTAGCTTGTGTTTCTGAGAATTTTACAATTTGTATTTTCAGTGTTACAACAACAGAAGGTTTAAGGAAACGGCCATTAATTGTATTTGATGGCAATTCAACAAGTACAAGCATAAAGGTGAAGAAGACGGAGAATGGAGCTGCCGATCGCCTAAAACCTCCTCCAGCTGGAAGCACCACCAACACCGTTAGAAGATTATCAGTTCCTTCAAATGCCTCAACATACATTTCAGCTTCCAGTTTATCAGAGGACGATAAGCTGGGAATGAGGAATAATGAGACTAAGCAGAACAATATTTCAAAGACTAACAGCAGTGTATTGGCTAGTCTGAAGGTGTACCCTTTGTCTCCAGTAGCAGGAACTACTGTTGTGAAGCTAAAGAGAGCTGTTCCAAAAGAAGAATCTGATTTGCCGGTATGTATGTTAAGTGTCTTATTTTGCAGTTGTGGGTGTTTTTTGTTTTTTTTTTTTTAATTGAAACTTGCAGGAGCCAAAGGTAGACCCTTGTAAGTTTCCACGATTATTTTATTTTGGAGTAATAGTAGAGTCTTTATTTAGAAACAGGCAAAAGAGTAGCTGGTTTGGGAAAGATGAGAAGGAAAGAAATGAAGTGCTTTATGCTTGTTCATAGGCAACTTCTGTGTGAGAGGCAGCTTTGTAGAAAACATGCGTGTAATTTTAAAGTGAGTGAGTAGGTAATATTTAAGGTGGTAGCAGTCAAATAAAATACAAACAAAATAATCCTACTGGTAGGTCTGAGAGAGAGAACAGGTATTACAGAACAACATGAACAGCCTTAAAGGGAGGACAAGTGATCTGTTTTCTGTAGTAAGGAAGAAAAAAACGGAATGTTAACATTTGTAACAATTACACTTAGATGGTTGAGTAGGACAAGCTTTCATTTGTCAAAGTGAAGGAAGAGATGTTACAGGAACTGAAGTGAGATGCTGAGAGCTATAGAATATATCCTTAGAGGAAGAATGCCATCTGTCTTAAATCTCACATAGGAACTGGCAGGCTGGAGGAAGGAACTGAATGTGAAAATCTGGAGAGCTGGGTGTGAATGAGAAGCCATAACAACAAACCATACTAGTTGAAGTGAGAGGCCAAAGGTCGAGTGCTCATTTTGAGCCACGGTGATCTTAACCAGGTACTTGGGCTTCTGTAAGACAATGAGAAAGACATGCTGAGATCTTGAACAGAAGGGTGCTGTTCCTGAGCAAAGACTGATAACTGAGCTGTTAACTGTTAAGGTAAATAGTTATCTTCTTTCTGCAAGATTAGATTCAGCTGCAAACTAATTTTCTGTAGAGAAGGGAACTGCACTACAGATGGGTGCGGAATGATGCTGACGAGCTGAAGTGATGAGAGAATTGCTAAGGCAGGATATACGAATTCAGGAGGGCGTATCTTTGAAAGTGTAGGTAATCGTGCTGAATGTAGCTGCGAGTTGGGGAGAACCACAGAACAGTGGTTATTTTTGACAAAGGTGTGATCAGCCTTTGAGGGCTTGGCAGTGAGCAAGGAGCATTTTGGTATTTAGAACTCTTCCAAGTATTGGTCAGATCTGAACCTACAGAGGTTTTGAAACTTGTTTAGTATACACCTCACAGGTTCTTTATATTTAATTTAAATGTTTTGTAGACACAATGATGAACATTTCTAAGTGATGCTGTATAACTGACACTCAAAAGCTATGGCTTCTGACACTTGACTTTCTAGCTTAGCCACAGTTTATATTGTTCAAGTTAATACCGGTAAGTTCAGTCATTCCTTGGCTGATGTCGGTCAGACACGTTTGAAGTTAGGCAAGTGTGTTGTATGGATGTTACTTTACTGTCTGAGATTAAAGAACTTTGTACAGAATACTAAGTCATGCAGCCAGGAAGAATCAGTATACTTGGCAGATGGCTGTGGAGTGTAAAGCCTGATGTATTTTTAGTATAATGACAGTAATGACAATTGCCTTTTCAAGCAAATGACTGTCCTTTGACTTTCAAGAAAAACTGAAGTTCTCGTACTGAATAGCACAGGACTATCCCTCTGATCTTTGGGTCTAATTCCCTTAAACCTTTCAGAGGTTGCAATCCAGGATTGCTACAAATAAACTAATGCTGAAACGCTTAATGAGACGAGAAATCTATAGATTGTGCTCCCCAAACCAGTCTGTTGCAGAATGTTCTTGAAAACTCGTATACCTGTTTTTATTCTGCTTGTGTGAACTATTAAAGCTCTAATTTCTCAGATTTTTTTTCTTATTTTACATGGTGAAATGTAATTATTTCACCACTTCAATCTCCCATTGTTTTACTTTGGGCTTGCTTGCTTTTTTCCTGGTTTCTTGGGGCAGGGCTTGAAATACGAGTTCCTCTGAGGCTTTGGCAATTATTTCACTTTTTTATACATGTCATTACAAAGGAAGACCAACTATTCCTTCTCTTTTTCTAACGTTTTAACTATTTGACAAAAGTAAATTGGTTTCCTGGTTGTGTGTTAGTTCTTTTCTTGTACAATCCCATTGCAACAAGTATTTTAAGGCGGCAATCTGAAATAACTTTAGAAATATGTTTTGAAACTCCAACATGTGCCTGTTTCTAAGCTACATAATTGAAAGACATTTTTGCATAACTAATTGTAGGATTAAGAAAAAACATATATGATTTGCAGGTAGTTAAATTGATGGCTTTATTTTTATCTTCTCCAGAGAAGTTCTGTGATATTTAACTTTCTCCACAAGATGGCAATAGAAACCTGTTGTAGTAGCATGTAGCTGAGTACAGCAATAGTCAAATACTAGCTTTGAATATTGCAGGTTAATTACTAACTTCTACTTGTGCAGTAGATCTAAGAATACTTATTTATATATTTTCTTGTATTCCAGAATGACCTAAAGCCTACGGAAGCAAAGAAGAAAATCCAGCATGTTACATGGCCATGAAGTAGCCAATGGGGCTTAAAATAAAAATGTTACTTCCATATTTTCAAACAGATAAGTCATATTTAAACAGTTTAAGTACAATTCTTTTTAAACCTCACAGGGATTCAGATTGCTGTGAAGTTTTAACAAGGTCAAAAGTTCCCTCTTCTAAAGCTGGAGTCATTATCACCAGTCACCTTAAGAGTGTCTACTCTTGTACACCAAGTAGTTCATTACTTCTTTAAAAGCTGGTGATGTTACAATATACTAAACCCTCCACTTTTAGTTTTCAAGATTATTATGGTTCATCTCCTGCATGTCCCTATGATTCACACATATAAATATGGGGTTTTTTTAATTTGTTTCAGTAAGATTCAGTTTTGTTCCACTTCTGGTTAAATAGTTAAAATAGCTATTGAGATTTAGAGTGATCCCAAGAGCCTTCTTGGCTTCAAAAAAGTAATTAATTTAGATGAGAAAACTGACCATTCTGCTGATAAGATAGTTTGAGACAAAATTTCTTTCCTTTTCGTTGCACAGAACAGGAGTGTAGAATTTACAGTGCATGTTAGGTTGGTAATAACAGATGAACTATTTAACAGCATTACTTCAAATTGAAGTTTCTCTTATTGACATATGAAATAAGAAATGCACAGATGGAAGTATGTTATTAGACTGTTTGATAGGAATCTTTGAGAGGAAGTAGTGAATGGATTAGTGCCGTGTTCTCTTGAATACCCCGGCATACTTTATACATGAATAAGTGTAAAAATGTGCCGATGTAGCAAATTTGCTTGTTTTCCTGGTTACAATCATGCTTATAAAATATGGAGAAAACCTGTGGAATGCAGGCCAGTGCTTTCTCAACTTACTAACAGTTGGAGAGGGACAGGGGTAGGAAGGCAAAGTATCACCTTGAAAGCATTAGTATATGTAGTTAAACTCTTTGGAGAAAAAAACCCAAAAAACCCACAAAACACAAAACAAACAACCTGTTTTCCCTTCCTTTGATAATTTAACATGGATGTTGGTTTTCTGTGAAATTTGGTGTTTCATCTGGATTATTTGTAGTGTCTTATAAGGCAGAAGTCCAGTTAAGTTGATGGAAACATTTTTATGAAATCTCAGTGGCTCAGGGTGAAGCCAGTTTAGATCCATTTTACGTATGGATGGTAAATAATAATAATGCTCCCAGACTTAGTAAAACATAAAACCATAATCAAATTCTGAATCCACTTAGTTAACTCACTAAAAGAAGCTGTCAGTAGTAATCTGAAAGCTTGTTTACATTTTTAACATTGGTTAATATTGAAACCAAAAACTGTAGCTTAATTCATGACTGACAGAAGTTCTCCATTCCCTGTTATGACATAAAAGGCACTTCTCGAATGCTGTAAAATGGTAAGAATGTGTTTTGAAATATTGTGTGCTGTTTCCCTTTTACTAAACACTTGTGCAGTTTTTGTACTTGAGTACAGCAAACTTTAACGTAATGTACATTTTGTATGTAAAGAGTTGTCTTTTAAGTAGACTTATCCTATTTAAATAAATTCAAGTAAAAGCAAACAAAGTAGTGATGACTTGTTTTTGTGATGTAATTAAGCTTCTTCATTTTATACGTTATATTTCAGTGGACTTGAAGTGATTGGAACTTAAAAAGAAGCTTACAGGGTAAAAGGCTCAGTAGCTACTTTGGAGTTTTAGCCGCAGTCAGGATCATGTGAAGTGCTGGTCCTTGCACTAGTGTAACAGTCTGGTAGGAGGTCTGTTTTGTCGGTGGCTTCTTGGCAGTTATTTATAGAGTCTAGGCTATATTTTGTTGCAGTTTCAGTTGCTAGGAGCATGTGTGTCTTGGTAAGTGTTGAGGAGTGATATGCAGAACTGTACTGGAATAATAGCATGATGCTGCTATTGCATAGTAACAGTCTTGTTTTCAGGCCAGTGTGCTTTCCAGCCTTGTCATGTTTCACCTACCTTTCCCCAAAGCTGGGACCATTTTGCCATCTGTTGTAGCGCTTGGGGGGCAAGGTGCAAGCCACGCAGCTCTTCCAACCTTCCCCTGCCCCCTTAGCTAATAGTAATCTGTCTTCTCTCAGCTAAGTGTTAGAGCAGAGCTGCAGTGTACTGGGGGATTGCCAGACCCCGAAGGAGGGAGTAAGTGAAGTGCTTGCCCTCCTTTGGGAGGTGTGGGTATAAGATGGATTTTTATGGCTATTCTTTACTACAGCCTTCATCATAGAATGAGATCACCAAAGGATAGAATTTAGTCATTCCGTGAGATCAGATTAAGGCAGTGTACAATTCAAAAATGTCAGCCAGTCAACTTCTTAAAATGGTGTACAGTAAACAAAATCTGATTTGATGCATCTATTTAGCTTGTTCAATTAATGAGAGAGGCATGACCTGTGAGCACTTTATACTTGGTACAAAAAGAGACAAATTCAAGAGTGGTGG